ATCTGGGCTCGGATGCCCTTGTGACAGGTTATTCACGATGATCCGGGGTTTTACGCAGCCTCGTCTCTTCATTTCTCCTTATGGCAGATCGAGACATCTCCGAACGAGAAACAGCTGCCGCTCGAGAGGCAGTCGTCAGCGCTGCTCGCCGAGTCGAAGAGTCTATCGGGTCAAGGTCTAGAAGGGCGTCTCATTCTTCGGTCCCCGCCGCCTCCTCTACTGCCAGAAGCAACAAAAACAACGACGATGACGCCAACAGCGACAATACCAACAACACTACTGATATTGCCAACTCCAGCCCCTAACGTTCATGGAGGCACAAACAACGGCATCGAGCACGCCGCTAACGAGAGTCGTGAGGAGGCTCCCCTCGACAACGCCAACGAGGCTGATGGGGACCCTCTTAATGCTGGTCTCACCTCCTCGTCTCTCCATGACAAGCTGTGGGATAGGGAGGTGATCCAGGTCATCCACAACCTCACTAGCGGGGGAGGTCGTCCTTCCAACAGTGAGAAGCAACAGCCGGTGGTGACGCTGGCCGATCTCTTCAAAAAGGCACCTCACCTGAGAGGCATCTCCTACGACTTACACCCCTCTGACCGCTATATTCAAGAAGTCTGTTGGGCATCACCTGGTGTGGCAAGAACTGTGAATCTATTGACGATACTACTCAGCAAGTTCGCCTCTGAGAACGAGAAGATCGATGAAGATAACCTCTTGATGTCGGATATGGTGGTCTGTTCGATGCGTTGGGCTTTCTCGGTAGCCCTGCTATCAACCTACTTCCCCGACTCCCCAACTGTCGAGATTAGATTCCTAGCTCCTCCGAAGAGAGTGAGCGAGCTACACAACGGTTCGTCGTTCCCGATGATGCTCCACTCTGACGCTGAGGACCATTCGCAAAGAATCGCTGGCGTTCTCCTGCCCGGAAGCAAAAGTAACGAGAAGGGCAGGTTTTTTAGTGAGTTCACGCCCGAGTCCATTCTACGAAGCTGCAACCACCGCGAAATTCAAATCACAGCAGCCCTGTTCACTATTCTTACTTTTGCCCCTTGGATCCGAGGTAAATCAGCTTTTCTTTATGTGGACACTGTCCACTGGACAGCGAAGCAGCTGAGTTTGCGCTGGTGAGAGGGACTTCGAAAGCCGCCGACCTCAACGAGATGGTTTGCAAGTTCTGGAAGATTGTATCGCACTACAGGATCAACCTCAGGGTCAGCAGAGTGTCCAGTGCACAGAACTTCGCCGACGGACCCTCCAGAAGACATTACGCCGATCTACTCGATTTTTCGAGGCACCCAGCACGTTGGCCTGAGCCTATTACATGTCGTGATGAAGAGTAGAGGACCAACTCAGCTGTCGGTTCCCAGCAAATTAAAGTTGATGAACCGCATCGTCCCATGTTTCTGAAGATTGTTTCATGTCCCAGTTTCTAGCCGGTTGGGGCAATGTTGAGTTAGAGTGTCACTTTGGGAGAGTTTGCACGTCCCTGTTGATGTCCGCCCCATTCCAGCTCCCCATCGGTATCAACGATCGACAAGAAGTAATCTCTCTGGCCACGGAAGCAATACTCCTTCGAACGTTACCACAATTCTCCAAATGGGAGGTTGGAGATCCGCAGCATTTAGAGCATATCTGGACT